ATCTTAGGCCAATAAAAATGTTCTCCCAACATCTATAAAGTCTTCTTGACCCCAAAATGACCCATCAAACCCCCACCGTGTGACTCTCGGACCAACAACTCCCTCATGGAACATTTAGGAACACACAATCTATTTTCCCGAAATAAATAGTCATCATGCCTAAAGAATTTATCAACAGCCCCTTACTACATGACTTATATATATCGAAAAAATCATCATCATTCACATACATATCCTTCACATATTCAAATCCAAGCAATTTCGCACTTAAAAAGGTAAGAAGCACATACCTTCGTGACGAAGCACATACATTCTCTTTACCTTGTTTGTACCGAATGACATATGGGAATGTTTCAATGAATTCCATCCAGCGTGCATGTCTCTTGTTTAGCTTCCCTTGGCCCCGCAGATGCTTCAAGGATTCATGGTCAGTATGGATCTCGAACTCTTTTGACCATAGATAATGTTGCCAAGTCTTCAAAACTCTAACAAGTGCATACAACTCTTTGTCACATGTAGGATAGTTGAGTGCTGCCCCGCTTAGCTTCTCACTGAAATATGCAATGGATCTTCCATCCTGCATCAAAACAGCACCAATACATATTCCCGATACATCACATTCAATTTCAAAAGCCATATCAAAGTTAGGTAATGCTAAAACATGTGCTTTACATACCTATCCTTAATAGCCTTAAATGCAAGTTCTTGTTCGACACCCAATTTAAATCATACACTCTTTTTAACAACCTCTGTGAGTGGTATGGCAAGTGTGCTAAAGTCCTTAACAAATTGCCTATAGAAACTAGCCAAGCCATGAAAACTCGTAACCTCAGTTGTGCTCCTAGGTGTTGGCCATTTTTTAATAGCTTTGATTTTATCTTTATCAACTTCTATTCCCTTAGCACTAACAACATATCCAAGAAAAATAACTTTTTCCATGCAAAATGAACACTTTTTGAAATCAGCATAAAGTTATTCTTTTCTTAAGACCATAAGCACACACTTCAAATACTCTACATGCTCATTCAAGTATTTACTATAAATCAAGATATCATCGAAGTATACTACCATGAATTTACCTATGAAAGCACGCAAGACATGATTCATTAAACGCATGAAAGTGCTAGTGCATTAGTAAGATCAAATGGCGTGATCAACCATTCATACAATCCATATTTGGTTTAAAAGCAGTTTTCCATTCATCCCCTTCTCGCATCCTAATTTGATGATAACCACTTTTAAGATCAATTTTAGAAAATATGCTTGCACCGTGTAGTTCATCTAACATGTCATCTAACCTAGGGATATGATGTCAATACTTTACCATAATGTTGTTCATGGCTCTACAATCCACACACATCCTCCAGGTTC